ATGTGAAACTGAATAATAATTTGTACAATTTTTCTGTGTATTTATTATATCCTATTTATTTTTATCTATTGAGGAAAAATTATGAACATTGAAAGGAGAAAATTAAAAACTAGTTATTGATGTATTGAACAATAAAACTACAACCCAGCCAAATTAATAGATATTTAATTTGCAAGCATTTCAAAGACATATTTTAGAATTAAAATTGTTACTAACTTAAAAATAAATAGTATTCTTTAAACATTTACTGACATCACTAAATTAGAATTAAAGAATGGACGCTTAAATTATAAAATATTTATCACTTATATTATAGTTTATTTTAAAGTACCATTTCCAACTACGCTAAATATTGTATGGGTAGCCAATAGTTAAAAAAAAAAAAAGATTTTTGAAGTTTTCTTAGAATAAGAAACTGTCGTAATATAATCGTTACTACAATAACATGGGATATTTATACATTAAATTCTTAGGACATTTTCTAACAAGTAATTTAAATAAACATTTAACAAACACACACTGTTTAGTTATATTATAATACGCACGATTCTATCATAAATTGATTAGTAGTCCCTTTTAGAAATCGTTCCTTCCGAGGAAAATGTATAAATTATTTTTGTCATATTTATTATTTTAGTTTTTATAATTAAATGCATTGTTTTAATCCTGGTCTTATTGGAAAAAACTATGTCAATGTTATATATAAATGTCAAAATTATTTATATCCTAGTCATCTGTAATAATCTCTGTATTTTATGCTTATTTATCANAAAATGATTTATATACTCCATTCATCTGAAATAGCCTCTGCATTTTATCAATAAACAGTTATACTGTAAGAATTAGACAATGATGATTTTCGGGGGTAAAAAATATTATAAAAAGGCAGAGCAAACCCTTATACCGCGCTGTTCATTTCGTGCTCTGCATACATAACGATACTTGGATATTGCGATCATCATTGTCAAAGTTCTTACGAGCTTGATTTTTGAACTAAAACTTGAATTTGTGTTACTTTATTTATCATTTTATTAATATTATCACTGAAGTTATTATAACAACTGAAGAAAAATTATCAGGTAAGATTTTTAAATCTATAAGAATATTTATATTGTCATTTTATATCCCTCAAATCACTCCCCGAATCAAAAGTAACTCTAACTCTCCCTCTCACTTTTACTCTAACCCTCAATCAAAATCTTTTTTATTTTTATTAATTTTTGAGTTACGATAGAATGTTTCCCTTTTTGGGTTAACAAAATAACCATTTATTAACACATTTCAAACCAGTCCCCTACAATTCATTAACTACGCTCACATCAGGGTTTTTATCACAATTAACCAATCACAAATAATTATCCAACATCTCAAGAATTTCAATAGAGATTGCTGGATTACTTTATCAGGCATATAAAAAGCGAGATCGGGTCTGAGTCTTTGTCTCCTTCTCTGCCTCGCTAAAAAGTAAACCTAATAATTAACTACAAGCATATGACAGGGTTTATTGAGATGACTTATTTTTTAAATATTTTTATTAACTAATTTTTTTCCAATTTAAAATTGTATAATATATCCTAAATTTCTTAGTTGGGCAATACATATGTAATACATTTTATATAAATTACCTAAATTAAAAGATATGTCAACTGGCTCCATTAAAAACATTGTCTTGCCTCAAGTCTGTATCAAGATAGAGAATTTGACTTTTTCTTCTAATTAATTTATAACTCTTAAAAGTAATAAGATAAAATAATTAATATTAGTTAACAAGATTTTTACCGATAATTGGTAAAAATTGAGATCAATTATTGGTCTCTGTATAACACGTAGTATATTTTAACAAATTTCAAATTTTTATGGTGAATACTTTCTTTGAGAGATTCAATTAACGATTAAGGATAACCCCTCCTTTTAACCTAACGCCATTTGCTTGCATCATCATTTTTATTGTATACAACTCAAAAATAAAGCTAGTGCACCTAATTTTTTTACCGATAGTATACATTTATAATTTTACTTAAATAAACAGAAACTCTTATTGCATTAGTTATTTTGATTATTTTTAAATCGCAAAAGTAATATTGATATTTACGAATTTAGTTTTTTAATTACATTGGTAATTTTTTAATAAAGTATTAAAAAATGAATGTGTTAAACTTTATTTTCAGATATTGAAATTTAAATTAGAAGTTAAATTTTACATATTAATATGTTTTCCAAAAAACGCTTAAAATATATTATTTATGATAAAAAGAACTGAATATCTATCTTACAATTTTTAAATATGTCATGGACACCTTAAAAACATAATTTATAAATTGGTATAATCAGATTTTGTGAAACTTAAATTAATGCGGCCGTTGTATTACCGTTGTACGGATTTAGATAATAACCGAACCAAAATGGTAATACACCGATTTTGTTGTGCGTCCCTAAATTGCCCATTTAAAAATAACCCGAAATTACTTATTACTAATCGGCGGCGTTGATATGAATACTGACAATTATCGGCCAGTCAACAGTTCGTGATTGACAAGACAGAAATCTTGTCCGGTGACGGCACTAGATAAGTCCGTACGCTTATTATTCAATATTATTATTAGTGTGTATTAATAAACTGTTTCAGTATTCCTGAAACTAGTATGTCGGTATGTTATTTATTCCACATAGTAATAATATATAAAATAGTATTATTATTAGTTTTTGTTTCCAATTGCAACCATGATAAAATTCTTTGAAACATTTTGATATAACTACTTTCCGGTAAAATGCATCTAAGACAGGATCCAGAATTTTCCTAAAACCTGAATCTTGTAATAAAGTCGAAAGTCTTCCAATTATTGTTACCATTTCAATACAAGCAGCAATTAGTGAATTGTACCCTGACTGTTATTTATCTTAAAAGAAAGACATAAAAACTACATAATAAAAATTCAAATAAACAAAAAAATTAATTTTTATATTGGATACACAATATATTAAATAGAACATTTTATGAGAATAATAAAATATCTTTAACTAGATAATAATTTGACGTATCGTTAAAAAAAGTTGATCAGGTGAAAGCTGAGAAAATAAATGAGAGCCATAAAAAAAAAACATATAGTACAATAACAAAATATTTAGTAAGAAATATTAAATACACAATACAACCTGCTGGACATATATACTATTAAGCTAATTTTAGTTAAATATAATACAAAAAAGTAATGGTCACGATGACAGTAAAAAGTCAACTGCTGTTTGGGACATTAGAATTGTGGCACAATGGCCATGAATTCCAAAAGTGTTTATGTATGCAGTCTGCCCTTCTGTAGTAATACGCGTGTCACTATGTCTACGTTATAAGACTAGTCGGCGGTACAATAATGTTATGGGTTTATATCACTTGTATGTGATCGTATCAGCTGCTGCCCTTACATTTTAAATCACACTTCAGACCTTAACAAATTAAACAGTTTGGGATAATTAAAAAAAGATTTGTCTGAAATAAGTTATTTGAAGATATATTAGTATTTTATGTGATGGTGTCACGTTACCAATATTGTGAGAATTATTTTAATAAAATACAGACAGTACATCAGCTGCCTGAGACTGATGAATTAACAAATAATATTTATTGCCAAATTGGCAATAGTTCTAATTATTATAAAAACCTAAAAGACCTGACCATCATGGTCAGTCGACTCCAGTGCCTTGTGTCATTCATCAGTCTCAGTACTCGGTTGTCGCTGTCCGGCTTATTGCTTAAAGTAAAGTCTTTGTTTATTCCTTTTTAAACCTATCTACTCTCTTCCACAACATTTCAGAGTACTTGTGGCTTGCACTTCGTCTGCACCTCATACTTTGGGCTACCTTTGTGTTCACCTGGTATTAGTGTCTTGCATTTCGTCTGCACCTCATACCTAGGTGTTACCCTGATTCCCTTCCTATAACAGCAGCCTTTCGACACCCACAGCTAACCCGGAGTGTCAGCCGAGCACGGTGACTGCTGTACGACAACACGCACGTGAATACCTACACAGCAGGCACCACATCCTCATATTCATCTTCGTGCACATAACCTTTTCCTTTCTTTTATTGTGTTACGACACTTAGTAAGAACCACTGGGTCTTCGATGTCCACACTACTAAATTTGTAAGCTTTTGAGCTTTGGAGGAGCTTCCATCAAGTGGCCTCTCAGTCGTCGGTAAACAAGCTGTTCCTATGAGAAGCCCGGCACCGTAGTCGACTTCTTGAATAGTCTCGGGGCTCCAAATTAATGTCGTCCGTGTTCTCAAGGTCTGTTTAGAATGCTAATGTTCATTATAAAACATGTAAAAGGGTTGTGAGGAGCGTGAATACAATCGCTAACAGTGCATGTACTATAAAATAGTTAGATTTTTCAAAGAGATAATGTAATATAACATTTAATATTTGACAATTAAAAATAGTTAAGTTAAAAATTCGTACCAGAAGAATTATTATACAGAGTGTTCAGTAAATAAGGAAACGAATTTCTATTGTACTCATTGTTTGTAACAATTTAACTGTTTCCTAACTTACTGAACACCCTGTATGTATACATTAAATAATTGCAAAAACACAGTGACCATTTCAAAACTTTCAATTTCCAGTAATTTAAAATGAAGACACATACATGAAGGGCTTCTAAGAGTTGGCTGACTTACGCCTTTTGTGGGACGTTTAAAATTATTTACAATTTTTCATAATATAAGAGTAATAGCGGCTGTTTAAAGTGACCTTGCCTATTGCTGAAACAACTCAAGTTATCAATTATTGAATAGATTATATAATAAATAATAATTATATTTTATTATATAAAAAATATTAAAATAAAATTTTACCATAGAATTCTTAAAATCATAATAAATAAATTTAACAAGATTTAGCATCGGTTAAATGCCATTAAAATATATTTTTAAAATACATATATTAATCAAAAATAAATAGAAGATATGAGTCAAATCAATTAAATAAATGGCGTATTTTTCCCTGAATAAAAATTGATTCACGTATTTAAACGCAACCAGTCATTTTTTATTTTATTCAACTATGTTACATTGCATAGTTTAAAAACTTAAATTATACATAGACTATTGTAATCTGACAACAAAAAATTCATAACATGGTATGTACTACTTCATAATATAAATTTGATGTAAAAATTAAATAATTTTTTTTTTCAGAATTCACTTACTATATTTATGACTATATTAGTATTCGCTGTTGATCTCTCCTTAGCACTTGGTAATAAAAATATTTAATCTTATTTTTTTTTAGTCGTAGAATTTGGAAGTACATCCATATATATATATATATATATAATAATTGATAAAATAAAATAAATTACATCTATAGTTTAGATCATTATTTTAATGTTGCTAAAAACTAGTTAAAAAACAACATAGTTTCCTAGAAGTTTTTTAGTTATCTATATCTCACGCAAAATATTTATGATGTAATATTTACTTTAAAAATAAAAATTTATTTTACGATAAATTACACAGACATTATATTTAATTTTAATCTCTTTAGCTATAATTAAAAGTATAAGTAACATCTACCCCTACTAGTGTAGTATGTATATTTAACCCGACATATCTATTAGTTTTGTCGTAACTCAAAAATTAAAAGAATAAAAATGAAAAGAAAAAAGATTGAAAAAGTTCATGTTGGCGAGTGAATTAAAGGCAGAGAAGGAAACAAAGACTCAGACCCGATCTCGCTTTTTATATGCCGGATAAAGTAAGCCAGCGATCTCTATTGAAATTCCTGAGATGTTGGATAATTATTTGTGATTGGTTAATTGTGATAAAAACCCTGATGTGGGCGTAGTTAATGAATTGTAGGGGACTGGTTTGAAATGTGTTAATAAATGGTTATTTTGTTAACCCAAAGTGGGAAACATTCTATCGTAACTCAAAAATTAATAAAAATAAAAAAGATTTTGATTGAGGGTTAGAGTAAAAGTGAGAGGGAGAGTTAGAGTTACTTTTGATTCGGAGTGTGATTTGAGGGTTATAAAATAACAATTTAAATATTCTTATGGATTTAAAAATCTTACCTGATAATATTTCTTCAGTTGTTATAATAACTTCAGTGATAATATTAATAAAATGATAAATAAAGTAATACAAATTCAAGTTTTTGGTTCACATATCAAGCACGTAAGAACTTCGACAATGATGATCGCAATATCCAAGTATCGTTATGTATGCAGAGCATGAAATGAACAGGGCGGTATAAGGGTTTGCTCTGCCTTTTTATAATATTTTTTACCCCCGAATATCATCATTGTCTAATTTTTACAGTATAACTGTTTATTGATAAAATGCAGAGGCTATTTCAGATGAATGGAGTATATAAATCATTTTGTCATTTTATATATAACATTAACATAGTTTTTTTTACACATAAGATTAGGATTAATACAGTATATTTAATTATAAAAACTAAAATAATAAATATGACAAAAATAATTTATAAATTTTCCTCGGAAGGAACGATTTCTAAAAGGGACTACTAATCAATTTATGATAGAATCGTGCGTATTATAATATAACTAAACAGTGTGTGTTTGTTAAATGTTTATTTAAATTACTTGTTAGAAAATGTCCTAAGAATTTAATGTATAAATATCCCATGTTATTGTAGTAACGATTATATTACGACAGTTTCTTATTCTAAGAAAACTTCAAAAATCTTTTTTTTTTTTTAACTATTGGCTACCCATACAATATTTAGCGTAGTTGGAAATGGTACTTTAAAATAAACTATAATATAAGTGATAAATATTTTATAATTTAAGCGTCCATTCTTTAATTCTAATTTAGTGATGTCAGTAAATGTTTAAAGAATACTATTTATTTTTAAGTTAGTAACAATTTTAATTCTAAAATATGTCTTTGAAATGCTTGCAAATTAAATATCTATTAATTTGGCTGGGTTGTAGTTTTATTGTTCAATACATCAATAACTAGTTTTTAATTTTCTCCTTTCAATGTTCATAATTTTTCCTCAATAGATAAAAATAAATAGGATATAATAAATACACAGAAAAATTGTACAAATTATTATTCAGTTTCACATTTCGATAACCTAATTGAACAAATAAATTTAAATTTAAATATTATTATTATTTTTTTTTTAAACATCTTTATTTATATCGAATAAACTGATACACGTAACTGTTCAGTATCACAACAATTCTAATTTATGCAGAATTGCGTGATTTAATTTAAAAATTAAAAATTTGACGTAAATTTTAAATTGAAAAAATTTAAACGTTTGTAGAAAATAGAGTAATTGTACTAAGTACAATTTTCATATAAATTTAAATAAATAATATTATTTAATTGTAAAATATGGATTTTTACAAATTTGGTATCTATACTAAATTTAATATTTCTTTAATTCAGGTAAAAATGTATTTTGAACAAATTAGAATTTTAATAAAAATATTATTGGTATTAAATTGTCAGATATGCTTATAGCCATTAATTAGTAAATTCTAGTTAAAATGATTAGACTATTACTTAATAATGAATGATAATATTTTATAGAATGTAATTGTTGTGGCGATACTGAGAAATTACAGATGGTTTCGTGTCGTCACTATTATTGCAATACCTGTACAAATAAGTTCACAAGATGTACAACGTGTAGAACAGAATTCATATTGGGTAACATTAATAATTATATTAAATATGAGATCTATATTCACCAATAACATAAATATATAATTTATTATTTATATATTTTTAAAACAATGTTTTCTACTATTTTTTATACAGCTCTTACAATCTGTTTGATGGCCATAACTAGATACGTTTTGAGATCTTTTTTCGTATCGTTTTAATAATTTTGAACAAAATCGGTTCAATAGAAATGAGTTTAATAGCATATATATACACAGGGTGATTTTTTTATCATAACCCACTCAATTACTTACAGAATAATAATAATTAAAAAAATTTTTTTTATTATTATCTTTAGTTACACATTATTCTTGAATTTTTAACTATGTAATACTTTTTAAGTTCATCCCTTATGCCTTGGAGGGGGGTCAACTTTGTTTTTTTAAATGGTAACACATATTTTTAATTTAATAAAATGTTTGAGTTTTTAATTTAATAGTAAATGGCATTTGAATTTTTAATATAACTTTATTAGCTTATTAGATATAAACATTTAAAGTTTCAAATTTTTGAGTTAATATACATGTATAATACACATGGGATTGTAAATACAGGTAGCTAATTGAATTTTTATGACATTGCTGTCTCAGTCACGGATTGTTTATTATCAATTATGATTATCAATAGATATACTTTCTGTATTGTCAGTTAGTGTATTTATAAACTCATAACAATGTGCCTTACTACAACTGATAATAACAATGCTGTGTGCCTGCTAATATCGATGTTATAAAAAACCAATTAGCTACCTGTATTTACAATCCCATGTGTATTATACATGTATATTAATTCAAAATTTTGAAACTTTAAATGTTTATATCTAATAAGCTAATAAAGTTATATTAAAAATTCAAATGCCATTTACTATTAAATTAAAAACTCAAACATTTTATTAAATTAAAAATATGTGTTATCATTTAAAAAAACAAAATTGACCCCTTTCCAAGGCATAAGGGATGAACTTAAAAAGTATTACATAGTTAAAAATTCAAGAATAATGTGTAACTAAAGATAATAATAAAAAAAAAATTTTTAATTATTATTATTCTGTAAGTAATTGAGTGGGTTATGATAAAAAAATCACCCTGTAGACGAAAAAAAATAATCTCGACGAAGTAAAATCTATTGCTTTTCGGCTACGCATCGAAGCTAATAAATGATACTTACACTATTATTCTTAGTCATTACTTTGAATAACTAATAATTTCTGAAACACGTGTTCGATGTTATATCCGATGAATTATTTTCCTAATCCATATGTTTTACACATGTCTTTGAAATATGAAAAAAAATTTTAAGTAAATTCGTAAGCAATAGATGTATCACTGCAAATTAAAAATGATTTAATCTTAATAAATTTTCTAATTTCAAGCAATTTTTATTGTTTTTTTTTTTATTTAATAATGTTTTTATGCACAATTGAATTTTAGAAAAAAATATATTTTTTATGTCTATTGACAACCTATTAAAAATGAAAAACTACTTAAATTTTGAATTAATTAAATTTAATTGTTTTCAGGTAATAACAATAGAACAGGTACAATTTTCTTATAATTATAATTAAATAATATTAATTAATTACACGATATGAATTTTTTACCAAATTGGATGTATGTGCTCTTATTTTCGTATCATTAATTAAATTTTAAACGTGTTTAGAAGAAATTAAAATTTATATAAAACTGCTTAAATATGAACATGATTTAGATAAAAATCTATTTAGTATTAAATTAGCAATTAGTTAAAAACTGACAATTGATGGTATGATGGTGTCACGTTATCATTGTAAAAAATTATTTTAATAAAATACAGATAGCGCATCCGCTTCTAGAGACTGATGAACGACGATTAATATTTATTGCAATACTATCAATCGTACGAATTACTATTTAAACCCAAAAGGCCTGGCAGTTAGGATCTGTCGACTACTGTGCCTTGTGTCATTCATCAGTCTCAGTACTCGGTAGTCGCTATTCGGCTTACTGCATAAAGTCAAGTCTTGTTTTTCCTTTTTCAACTACCTACTCNGCTATTCGGCTTACTGCATAAAGTCAAGTCTTGTTTTTCCCTTTTCAACTTCCTACTTTCGTCCTCGACATGTCAGAGTATTTGTGTCTTGCACTTCGTCTGCACCTCGTACCTAAGTGTTACCCTTATTTCTATCCTATAACAACAGACTTTCGACACCCACAGCTAAACCGCAGTGTCATCCGAGCACGGTGACTGCTGTATGATCACTTATACGTGAATACCCTGACAGCATACTCAACATCATCTTCGTACACCTCACACCACACCTCCTACTCCCCTTTCCATTGTGTTTTGTTTTGTGTTACGGCAATGGTATCATGGTCATTAGTTGGTTGATTCTAATTAAAAATGATTAGACGGTTACTTAATTAAAAAGATTAATATTTTATAACTATTTGTTTATAAGAAAAATGTTAATAACAAGTTTCATTTGTTTAATGTAATTTTAATTCAGGTTTTTATTTTGTTTTGATTATAGCATTAAATGTATTAAGTAAGTATAATCTAAATAATTATTTCTTATAAAAATGTATTAAATTCGTGGTATTTTCTTATTTAACATAATATTTTATAGAATGTGCCGTTTGTGGAAATGTAAAAGAAATAAAAAAAGGTTCTTCGTGTACTCACATACATTGTGAGAACTGTTTACATTATATTACGAATTGTTTTACATGTAAAAAAATCATCAGAGATGGTAATATTATTGATAATATTAAATATACGATATAAATCACCAATAAAATTTATAATTTATTCTGTAAATTTAAATAAAACAAGATTCTATAACACTTTTTTAATATCTTTAAAAAAAGACACTTGGTCTATCGGTTATATTAAGAGTATATATTATGTTTCTTATGTGTTATTATAACAATAGGTAAAACCATTATAATCCTCGAAGGAAGATTTTTGAATCTTATCCTCTCTAATATATTATATTTATCGTGTTTTATTGTTCAGATAAAATGTACTTTTCGTTATTAATTTTCAAAAAACTTATTACTTTCTATAGAATATCTATAAATTAATTTGAATCTTCGGCTAATATTGAAAATAATATAAAGAATCAACAATAACAAACTTCTGTGTGATTGAATGTAAAGAGAGTTTGATTTTCAATATTCGTTGTAGTAATATCAAAAACATTTGATTTATCAATCATACAATCTAATAAACTTCACTATAAAATCACAAACTACACATCTAATATTATTCATGACATACATAATGTATAGTTCAATGTTGGATCTTTAATTTGTTTTCTTCTAAAAGTAAAAAGCTTACTAGTAAAGATAAAAAATTAGTACTTAGTGGTTCATAATAAAAATGTTCAGTGTAATTTTAATTCAAGTTTATATTTTGTTTTGATATAGCACAAATTTTAAGTGAGTATAAATTAAATAATTATTTCTTATAAAAGTAAATCAAATTAATTGGTATTGTCTTATCCAAGTAACTAAAACAAGAAATTAAAAATTATTTTTCAAAAAATTAAAAATGTTATAAATTAATAAACTTTTCAATTATAAAAATATGATACAATACTATAAATAATAATAAATTTACTATTTAAAGCCTGTTCAATTTGTTCGTTACCCAATATTCTATACGAGGAAAACAATAAAATATACTGTACGAGCTGTCAATCATTAGGTAATACTCATAATTTAAGGTGTAAAGTGAGTAAGGAAGTGGGTTTCTATTTTTTTCATTGTTTGTAACAATTAACCTGTTTCCTTACTTATTAAACACTCTGTTTATTTTAAAAATAAATTAGTTAATATACAAAATATCAACACTTCCTGTACTTAAGTTGTTCATTGAATTATCATAAAAAGCATACAAAAAGAAAGATTATTGTCTCCACTATAGTCAGTTAAAATTTTATTATGATGAGCATTTAAAAAATAATTTATAGCATTATCTATATGCAGAAATATATTTTTTTATTTTATTTTACGTTACCTTATTTTTTAGGCAAATGTAATTTTTGGACATTATTTTAAATGTCATAAATTAATATAAATTTTTTTAAATTTTCCGTGCTTCATGCTTTAATTATATAAAAATCGGGTTCATTTGATGCGTAAACAAAAACAAATAGAGAGAGCTGAGGATTTTCATGGACAAACAAATAAACACAACACTTTAAAACCAATACATTCTCAGCTCTGTATCAAAGCTAAAATAACATTTAGTATAGATTGTAAATATATATATTAAATAAAAATAGCTAAAATTAATCTTAAAACGTATAATTAATGTATAAATAATTGTTTGCGTAATCCTAGGTTTTGTCCCACAAGAGACTGGAGCTTCGTCATCCAGACAAAGTATGTTACTTTATGAAAAATTATAATTAAAAACATGTAATTCATTAAGAATACTACTCGCAATTCTTTTGATAAACATATATTTTTTATAAAAATATACAGATTAAAATAACTAAAATTAATTTAAAAACGTATAATAAATGTATAAATTATTGTATGTGTAAACCTAGATAATGCTCCACCACAGTTCGGAGTTTGGCCGTTTAATCAAAGTAAGTTTATACATCGAATACTATTCATAATTTTTTTGTTAAATAGATATTATTTTATAAAAATATACAGATTAAAATTAAAAATATCCCGGAAAATGAGGTCGCGGCACAGTGGTGACGTGGCATAGTTGGATCAGGTATAATGATATCTGACAGTGATTAAAATCACTATCATAAAAAACGCTTCGATGCAAATCTTTAGATAGTGTTTAATTTTAAAAAATTGGTGGATTATTCCAAAAGCTACATGATCTGCTAGTTCCTTATTAATATCCTGATTAAGATAAAGTATGTCTAATGAAAAAGGGATTATTAAAAATAGTATTTCTCATAAAAAAATTATATTGATCAATACACTTTTCAATAAGTTATAGCATTATAAAGTTAAAAATGTAAAAAATAAAATTGAGAATTTTCACACAATAATAGCATTTGGTAGCCATTTTCACCGTGAAGAAAAAATAAAGTCCGAAATTTTTTTTTTCCATAATAAATTACATTACATTAGCTTTAATTTAAGATATATATAAAAGTGTCAGTATTTCCGAAATACTTTCAAAAGTTAAGTTGAAAAAGTTAATTTTTTGTGAAAAAGTTGTCATTTTAAATCCTCCCCCGTGGGCAGTTAAAGGGTTAAAAGTATGAAAAAAATGTACCAAATGATAGGTAAAGACATCAAGCATCTATAAAAAAAAGAATTATATTGATATGTGCATTTTTGAAAAATTTATGGCAGTTTTAATAAAAAAATTTTTAAAAATTTAAAAAATAAACGATTTTTAAATTGTAATTTTTTTGGAGGTTTCCCCTATTTACAGGGAACGAGGAATTTTTTTTCATTTTTTGAGGGTAATAAGTGCGACTAAATACGATTTGTGATCTTTTGACGTATCATTGAAAGAAATCGGTTCGGTGAGANAGGGTAATGTCTTCGACTAGATACGATTTGTGATCTTTTGACGTATCATTGAAAGAAATCGGTTCGGTGAGAGCTGAGAAAAAGTGGTATCAGACACAAAAAAAATAAATAAATAAACACATCTTAGTAAAATCAATACCTTCTCAACTTCGCATCGAAGCTAAAATTGAAAATTTTTCGAAAATTAGCGATTTTTAAATTTGTAATACATATTACTATTAATATACAAATAAATACATTTTTAATCTGTATATTTGATAAAATATATGAAAATTATATGAATATAATATATGAAAAAAAAAACATTATTACAAAACCAAAAAAATTAGAAATTTAAAAATCACTAATTTTCGAAATTTTTTCAATTTTTTTAACTTAAAATTGCTATTACTTTTTTAAAAATAACCAAATCAATATAATTTTTTTTTATATAGATGCATGATATCATTACCTTTCAATTGGTATATTTTTTTTTTATATGTGACCCTTTACCTGCCCCAGGGGGTATTAAAAATGCCAACTTTTTCAACTTGACTTTTGAAAATGTTCCTGAAGGTCTGACACTTTTATATATATTTTAAATTGAAGCTAATGTAATGTACTTTATTATGGAAAAAAAAAATTTGACCTCTGGATTTGTCTTCGTGGTGAAAATGGCTACCGAATGCTATTTTTGTGTGAAATTTCTTGATTTTATATTTTACATTTTTTACTTTAAAATGTTATAACTTTTTGAAAAATGTATGGATCAATACAATTTTTTTATGAGAAATAATAAAAAATAAAATTAAAGTAAACACATCATGATAATATTCATACCTTCTCAGTTTCGCATCGAAACAAAAAATCACGATCTAGTAAAATATAATAATTTTCGGGTACGAATCAAAGCAAATAAATTATAATATGAATTATAATAAATACATTATTATTCTTAATCATTACTTTGTATAATTAATAATTTGTGAAACACGTGTTCAATGTTATATCCGATGAATTATTTTGACAATCCAAATGTTTTACACATATCTTTGAAATATGAAATAACATTTTAAGTAAATTCGTAAGCAATATATGTATCACTTTAAATAAAAAAATGATTTAATTTTAAGAAACCTTCAAATTTCAGCCAATTTTTATCCTGTGTTTTCTATTTAATGATATTTTTATGCATGGATGAATTTTAGAAAAAATATCTTTTTTATGTCTATTGACAATCTATTAAAAATGAAAAACTACTTAAATTTTAATTGTTTAAACATAATTGTTTTCAGATTATGGCAACGATACAATCGGTACAATTTTATCACAACTTTAATTAAATTACATAATTTTCTTATGCATAAATGATTTAAAAAAATAAATCCATTTTATATGTATTAACAACCTATTTAAATGAAAAACTTTACTTAAATTTATTTTTTTCAAAAAATAACGAAAATACAATTAATATAATTTTATTATAATTTTAATTAAATTATAATAATTAATTACATGATATGAAGTTTTTACCAAACTAGGTGTATATATGCTCTTCTTTTTATATATTTAATTAGATTAAATGTATTTTTAACAAATTTGAATTTATATAAACTACTTGATAGGAATTTTGAATTTGGAAAAAATCTATTTAGTCTTAAATTGGAAATTAAGTTACAATTGATGTAATATTGTTTTTTAGTTAATTGATTCTAATTAAAAATGATTAAATGGTTACTTAATTATAAAATTTAATATTTTATAACTTTTGATTTTTGTTTAAAAGAAAAATATTTAAACAAAGATTTATTTGTTTAGCGTAATTTAATTCAGGTTTATATTTTCTTTTGATTATAGAAGTAGATTTATTACGTAAGTATAATCTAAATAATTATTTCTTATAAAAATGTATTAAATTGATAGATATTTTCTTATTTAAGTTAATATTTTATAGATTGCAATGTTTGTACAAATGTTATCAAATTACAACAAAATTCGTGTTCTCACTTATATTGTAACACCTGTTTATCATATTTAACTCAATGTTCGTCGTGTGGGAAAGATTTCACAGATTGTAATATTACTATTTACTATTTATTATTATATTACAAATGTTCAGTGTAATTTTAATTCAGGTTTATATTTTGTTTTGATACAGTAAAATATATATGTAAGTGTAAATTAAATAATTATTTCCAATAAAAATGTATAAAATTAATCGTTATTGTCTGATTTATGTAACTAAAACAAGAAATGAAAAATTATTTTTCAAAAATTTAAAAAGTTATAATTTAGTAAACTGTTCAATTATAAAAAAATGTTATTATGCTATAAATAATATAAATTTACTATTTAAAGACTGTTCAATGTGTCAGGTCCAAAATAATCTACTCAAAAGTTCCGGTAGAATATATTGTACGAACTGTAAATCAAAAGGTAATAAACATTATGTGAGGTGTTCAGTTATTAAGGAAACGGGTTTCTATATTTCTCGTTGTTTGTAACAATTAATCTGTTTCTTTACATACTGAACATTCTGCTTATTTAAATTAGTCAAAATAAAACATAATATTTATAAACTTGCATTCGTATTAGCATTGTAGGTATATAATACATAAATATTTTATACACCTACATTATAGGGGTAGTCAAAAATATTGTTTTATACTTGGATATCGTTTCAAATTTTTGAATATTTGATTGTGATATTGAAATATATCGATACAATGAAAAATTTTATCGAACATTTTCGTTAGTTAATAATAATTTTATTGGCGCATAACAGGAATGTTGACACGACTTACTTCGCAGTAATGTAGTCGACACTGGTTTTAAGGGTTCCCTCACGTGAACCGTTTATTATTAAGCAACAACAGATTATTTAAAGTACAGACAAACTGTATAGACGAACACAGTTCATAATAATGTTCATATAATATGACTCAACGTATCATTTGCAGCGAGTCGTCGTCTGCCGTGAGGCACTTGCTGGACTTTGCACCGTGGCGTATGGAACGCAATGTTGGTGGTCAGTCAAGTACTCATAGTAGGGCGACGACTGATAAAAGTGGCACGAGTCACGAGGCATCGTGTATCACTAAGCGACATGAAGCCATGTCAATGTTTAAATATTGGAATGAACCATCATGTTGGAAAATATCCATATAAATTAAAAATTAAACATAAATTTCTTTTTTTGATAAAACCATTTAAATCAATATCGAAAATATCGCGATATTTCAAAACAATATCCTTATAAAATGTTACCAAAAAAACGAAATTATATCAATAATCTATTGTCGATCCCAACTGCGTTATATTATAATAACATGTTGTAGTAATTAGATGAGGAAGTATTGAATTACGTCGATTTTAGTATAATATAAGCTTTACAATAGTAGTAAGCAATTTTTGAACTCTTAAGCAATATAATAATTCCATATAAAAGGGAAATGCAGGGTAAGCAAATTAATAATGGTGGGAAAAAGAATATAAAAGGGAAACATGAAAAGTATAGGGGGACGACACGGGACGATACTGAGCGAGACGATACTGGACGTTTTTGTCGAAGAAACGTCGAGTTACGGGTTAGGTCGTTGACGTAAGAATAACTTTATACTCTTTTTTATAAGATTTAATTAATCTTGTTTTAAATTATTATATTATATTTTATTTGACTTTTGTGTTTGATACATTTCGTAAATAAAAAAAACTATTTAAAAATCTGGACTTGGCGCAAATATTTAATATTCACGGTGATCTCGAAATTGTGTGTGTGTGTGCGGCAAGAGTCTAAGTTGGACTGCTGGTCCTTTAGTCAATCTTAATAATTAGTGTACGAGCTGGCTAGTGTTTGGGCTTAACCGTCCTTTAGTGGGTATAGTAAAAAGGTAGTTGTGCTGGTGGCTGACAAGGAGCCACTCTTCAGTCTGCTACTTTTTAGCTAGACTGTGCTGACGGGTCTAAACTCTACCCCTTTAGTAGTCCACTAATTAGAGAGATTGGGGCTGATCAGTTTATCCAACGGGAAGACTCGAGAAGAGCTCGAACGACGAACTCGTCGTCAATATATATATATATATAAAACTTTAATAAACCTTTGTGTCTACGTTGGGGCACTACCGACGTACGACAATGCAAACATGTTTTTCAATAACAAATAATTTTCTATAATGTTGGATATGAAGTTACAAGAAGGCGTTTTTTACATCTATTTTAACACGCTTATATTAGTTTCACGTGTATGTTTGTTTGTTTGTAAGTTTGTAACTCCACGCAGCACGTGTTATTATGTCGCGTATCCCTCCGTGTATGAACTTGAGACTAGACTGTCGTAACGCATTCGCCCTACCCCGCTCACCAATCGTAGACAACAATATTTTCCAACTCGTAGACGAGCGCGTGTCATCAATTATGTATATATATACAGGGTGCCCCACCACTCACTGACAACTTAAATAACTTTTGATCCAGTTAATATTTTTAGCTGATTTTTTTTTTAAACATTAGTTAGACGTTAGGTCTAAAGCTATATCTCAATAATTAATTTTTTTACATTTTATTAAAAATATTAATTATTTTTAAATTTTAAATAAAATGTAAAAAAAAAATCTAAGATAGCTATTTTGTAGAGTAGAATTTAAGAAAAATTTTAGTAAAAAAATATCTTATTAATATTCAGTAGTAAATATTCTGTAGCGTTTTGAAGTTTGT